TTTACTGCCAACCTTGCTTTCCTAAATACTCCAGACGCAATAGTCCATTGTGCGCTGGAAATGAAGCGAGGAACCTCGTTTTGTAACCATTCTTGGGTGGCGCGTGCTGAATGCGATGGTGCTGAGTCCTGTTGGACTGTCCACGATCTGCGGCCAAAATGTTTGCGGACACACCATCACCATGGCCTGCGCTTGAGTTCTTGTGGCCAACCGAAGGTGCACATATTCAGCCGACCTCTTTGGCAAGTAAACACTATCATTTTGTTTGTTTACAAACTGCTGAACAACGAATGTTTTCTCATCGGAGAAAACCAAATTCTGCAGTTCACCAATTTCGGCCAAGCAAAGCATCTCTTTAGATCTTTTGAGTCTATTTTCTTTTTGTTGCGGTGTAAGTTCTTACACTTTTTGGAATTTTAATGGCTTCACCCCGAGCTCATTTTGCAATATTTGCCGAATGGAATATTGCAATATGTTCAGCTCACAAGTTATTTTTCGGCCATTGCTACGCGGGTTTCGATCAAGTCGCTTCTTTACTTTTCGAACCATTTCTGCTAATGTTGTTGTTTTCTTCTGTCCACTTCCTTGACGTCGTGCTACGCTACCAGTATCACGGTAACGAGCGATGGTACGAGACACAAAAGATTTATTCACATTTAAATGCTGGAGTGCTCTAACGACAGCCACTTGTGTTTTTCTGCCAAATATCAAGAAATCACACAAATAACTTTTTTCTGGAAAATTCTCACCAAAATGCTTTTGTACGCTTGTAAACAATATAATGAGCTGTCACTGGAATAATTTTAAAAGCTGTCAGACGAGTGGCTTAGAAATGCCAGCAGTCTGAGGTTGGTTGCAGTTTTTTCATCTCACCCTGTATGTTTTACTAATATTTTGAAGGACTTTTACAGCTTTAATGGCAACCCATTTGAGTAACATAGCATAGGATTTTAAAAATACATTCTTAGAAGGACTATTTTAGCTATACTTATAGATTATTTAAAAATATGTTTGTGAGACTATCAGAGCTATAATCGGGGATTTTAACAATAGTTGTTAAAGGACTATCAGAGCTGAACTCGTGGAATTTTAACTAATATTGTTGATGGATTTTGCGTTAGCAGTCGTGAATTTTTTTGAAAATAAAACCGTGGATTTTTAAAATATATATTTATAGTCTTTTGTTTTCTTTTTCTGGACTTTTTGAAAATATTTTAAAGACTGTCGGAGCGAAAACACTATTTTTAAATTTTTAAGACATATAAAATCTATAGTTGTGCATTTGTTATTTATTAATTTTTTTTTTAATATTAAAGTTAAAAAATAGATGTTTTTAAATTTTTTAAAATTGTAGATTTGTAAATTGTAGATTATTTATCGCAATTAAAATAGATTTACCAAAAAATCCAAAGACTACATTTGTGTAGTATTGGAAAATTATTTTTGAACAATTATCCAAACTTAAATCGTAATTTTTTAATTATTTTAAAGAACTATATGCTTTATCTATTTTAAAGAATCTATAATCATAGATCTACAGAAATATTTTTAGAGTCTTTAAGAGCTGATTTTAAGGACTTTTAGCGCTATGGCTATGGACTTTTTTAAATTTGTTTTTTGAAGGTCAATAAGGGGTTTAGTCGCAAAAATAGTTAAAGGGCTGTAAACATAGATTTTTTATTTGTTTTCCTTCAAAATACTAGCAAACTGTTTATACCTATGATAACATTTAAAAAAATAATCTCTAAAAATTTTAATTTAAATGGAAAATCTTAAATGTTATTGTTAAAGGACATCTCATATATTTCCCACAGTTCTTTAATAGATACATATTTTTAAAAACTCATCGCCCTTCCAAACTTTTACTATAGACAGAAGACCGTTAAAATGTCTTCTATAATCTGATCATACCACCCCACGCTTGTTTTTCACATCACCACTCGTTTAGAAAATTAATAAAGAAAAAAGAACATTCTTTCACATCATAAAAGAACTCCACGAAAGGGCGAAACGTCTTTGCACCCAAAGTGTAATTAGATGAAGTTGAAGTTAACTTTAAAAACTTCTTGAGGTGCCACTTCACGACCAAAGTCCTAATGTCTGAACACCGCTCAAACTTGCTCACCTTCTCCCTTCCATGTGTGTGTGTCTAGTCGGCAAACTATGAAAGAAGGACTTGAACATAATTCTCAAAAGTTCTTTAGAATTAAATTTCTATTATTAAAACGTCTACGCTTGCAAAGGCATGCCCACAATCATATAAGCTCACTATGACGAACATACAAAGAAAGGAAGCAGGTTACGCAGATATTGAATTGTATGCAAATACTTAGGAAATTCCATTTTAAGATTATGGATGATAAATCCTTAGAAATGGAAAATACATATTTTATTATCGTTTTTACATTTTGGATGCTGAATTAGATAGAATTTGAAAAAAACTATATTATTTGAATATGAGAAAATATATTGTTTTGCTACAGTTATAGCCATATTATAACCCTTTGTAAATATTTTAAAAATAAGCTTCATTTAATTTCCTGATAGTATTTTTGCAAAAATATTTTTAAGAAACCCACATTAGTAATTTTGAAAAAAAAATTGGTTTTCCTTTTGGAAAAAATGCGATTGAAATGCAATTGAAAAATTATGAATTTAAGATATGTGCAGTTATAACACTGATAGTCCTTTAGAAAATATATTTTAAACTAATTTAGTAATACTACTATTACGTATAATAGTTAAAAAATGTGCACAGGGTGAGATGAAAAAAATGCAACCAGTTTTAGACTGCCGTTATTTCTAAGCTGTTAAAAGTATTCCAGTGACAGCTCATTATATTGTTTACAAGCGTACAAAGCATTTTGGTGAGAATTTCCCAGAAAAAAGTTATTCGTGATGAAATTCAAGCGTGATAGTGTGATTTCTTTATATTTAGCTGGAAAACCACAAGTGGCTGTCGTTAGAGCACTCCAGCATTTAAATGTGAATAAATCTTTTGTGTCTCGTACCATCGCTCGTTACCGTAATACTGGTAGTATAGGCCGACATCAAGGAAATGGACGGAAGAAAACAACAATATCAGCAGAAATGTTTCGAAAAGTTAAGAAGCGACTTAATCGAAACCCGCGTCGCAGTGGCCGAAAAATGGCTAATATTGAAAAATGAGCTCGGGGTAAAGCCATTGAAATTCCAAAAAGTGCAAGAACCAACACCGCAACAAAAAGAAAATAGTCTCAAAAGAGCTAAAGAGTTGGTTCGCTTGGTCGAAAGAGGTGAACTAACAAATTTGGTTTTCTCCGATGAAAAAACATTCGTTGTCCAGGAGTTTGTAAATAAACAAAATAATCGTGTTTACTTGCCAAAGAGGTCAGCTTAAAATGTGTCCGTTGGACTATTGTGTCTGGTGTATTTTGAAAAGCAAAAGATACCAAAGTGTCGGTCACCTCAAGCAAGCGCTTCGCCGGGAATGGACCAAAATACCGCAGAGCATTCGGGAAGCGTGTGAAATTTTCATTGGTCATTGAAGGCTATAATTCGTGCCAAAGGTGACCAATTCGAACAAATCGAAACTTATCCTAAAATTTGATGATATTTCTGTCATTTTTTTGCTTCCATTCAATAAAATTAAAAAAAATGTATAAAAATTATGGCGCTTGACTTTGTTGCAGTTTTTTTATCTCACCCTGTATATATAGGAACTATAGTAATTTCTTAACGATTTTCAAAATTTAAATACTTGCCTCCAGGCTAAATTAAGACCTACGTGCCGAAATCCACTCCATATGGGCTTATATTAACCATTTGATGCACAAAAAACCTGGAACCGCATGAAGATATATATAAGAGCTAAATTTGGCATCGATTTTTCGGAGCTGCATGTGATTTCTAGTACTAAATATAATTCTGTGCATATTGCGAATGTGAGGAATGAAGCTATATGGAAGCTATAGCTTATTCTGAACTTATTTTCAACAAATTTTAAAGTACTTCCATCAAGTCTGAATTTGGGCGGATGTGCCGAAATACATCCTATTAGGACCAATACAGGAGCTATATCTAAATTTGGCCCGATTATCACCAAATTCACTAAGGTTCTTCCCTGGGACAAACAAATGATTTGTGGGTGGAATTTCATCTCAATCACAATAAATGGGACCTCTACTTTATTTTACAATAATACATGGACGAACGGACGGACGGTGGACGGACAGACATGCATTAATCGACTCAGAATGTGATTTTATGAAGATCATATGAAGGAACGGTGGGTCTATTTCATTTCCGTCAGCATGTTACAATCTGATGAATTAAAAAAAATCCATGATGCCATTTTGAAAAAATATTTTTAAAAATCTAATATAATCTTTTTAGAAAATATTATTAAAAAAATAATAATAACATCATTTATGACAGTGACAGTGCCGGAGAAAATATTTATCAAGTCCACAATGGCTCTTTTGGAAAATATTTAAAAAATCAACGACAATAACTCCAAGTGTCCTTTTGAAAAATATTTAAAAAAAAGCCAAGTACTTTAGAAAAAAAATATAAAAAAACATGTCGTCTTTTTGGAAAAGACTAAAAAAAGCCTAGAAAATTATTTTAGACATAATCCTCCCTACTAATTTCAAATATTTACTCTCTTTGTTAAAGGCAATTTTGAACATTTATTTAACATTAATGGAATCCATTAACATCCCATTCCCATACATGTTAAATGCAGACGTCAAGATAATATGCTTAATGTAATTGCCCGGAAATTCTAAATAAATTATTAAATGTTGCTGGTTTTTGTTTTTGTGTGTTCTGACGAAATAGAAGAAATAGAAGTCAGACTCAGAAAATTTGCTTAGGGGAAATGTTTAATGGGCGGGGGGCGAAGTCCTATAAATATTTTATTTAACTATGTGAATCCTTGCCAATGTGTGTTTGTTATATGTACATTCACCTATATATATAATATTGTTTATATATTATGTATGTATATAGATACTCACATTATGTATTTGTTGTTTCAGTTGTTATTTCTTGTCGTTTTTGTAGATGATAGATGAAACGTGTAGAATTCCTTCACGCCCTGTTGACTCCTGTCTCCTGAACGGTGGCTGCCGGTACTTTGGAACGTGGAAATGGTAATTTGATAGCAGCAGCAACAATGGCACAATACCAAAAGCTGCTCTATATTTATTAGTTGCGCACAAAATTTGATGTTGAGCGTATAAAATTTCACCGATACTTTGCGATGCAAGTCCTTGAAACTAACACCATTGAGTACTACCGAGGGGGATATGTCGTGTTAATGGTGTGATGATAGTGGGGAGGGACGAAGGTGATGACAACTACGTTGATGACACTAATGATGTGGATGATGGCGGTGTTAGCAATAGCTCTAAAAACGATGACAATATCACGTTGATATTTTCTTGTTAAAACAAATTCGTACCGTAAAGACAAAACGTTTTTATTTTAAGGCGTTTTTTGTTTTGGTGGGTTCTTCTTTTTTGCTTTTTGTGTTTTTTATTTTTTTTCGATACAGTTTTGTTGATTATGTTTCTAAAATTACACTAAAAGATATGTTGGATTTTAGGACAGCTAGAAAAACTATAATTTTACAACTAATGATATCTATATATAATTATATATAATGTTAATTGCTTAAAAGATCGACATTATCTGACAGGTGAGAAAATTGTTGTTGTCCTCGAAAATTGCATCAACAGAATCAGTGATTCGATTTATTGGAACCAAATATGTAGAAGATCTCCTATCTATAGAGGTCATTAAGAAGGTATTTTAAACACCTCGAAAAGATGTTTTATAATATAAAATTTCCAGAAACCGAGACTCCTTTGGAGTTTTGATCAACAAACGAGTGCTATCAAGTCTTCTTTGAATTTTTCGCAATGCAGACTGGCTATTGTACAGTGAAATTATAAGGACATTTGCAGCGGATTGAGAAACATTGCTAATTTTTTTAAAGTAAACAATGTTTTAAAAACAAACATTTATAATATACTAGCTGGCCCGGTCCGCGTTGCCGGCCCATAGTTTTTGTCTATTATGCATATTTGTCAAAGCATGATTATTCAAAGATATGAATGTTATAAATGTTCACGTACTGGTCGATTAGTTTTTAATTTTTAGTCAAATGAGCAGTAATTTGGAATTTACTGTACTTTGTACAACTCGTAATTGAGGGCTAATTGATTTAAGAATAGGCAAAGTTAATTACTTTTTTGAACCCATTAGCACCTCAAATTGTGCATTAGAGTCCTCTTAAGTCCCCCTAACCATGTCGGTCTGTTTGTCCGCCAAAAGGTGGACTTGAGGGGATACTATTACATGGAGAAAATCCTAAAATTTGTAGATATGTTGAAATTTTTGTGTAAGATTTTCATCCCCAAATACTCATTTTTAGCCAAATCCTTTGAAATATGGTAAAATGCGAAACATCGACCTACATTGAAAACTTTCTTCACCCCTTATAATCCAAGATGACAAATAGAGGCCAAATCAAAAATATAGCTATTTTACATCCATTACCGTAAGATGGGAATTAATTTTATTTGCCATTTAAATTGTAAGTTGGAGTCCATATTTTTCATCATAGTATAATTTAATGACGATTCAACAAATATTCGGTCCCGTGCTAATTTCTTATATTTGTAATTTGTTCATGTTTTCACAATTTATTTCATATAGATGTATATCCCAAATCTACATTCCCAACCAATATTCTCTTGGGGGTTACAAATTAAATAGAATACAAATTTTTCTTTTCTGACCACACATTAGATGTGAAAGTGGACTTGGGGATACTCCAATGTGGGGACCAATATGGGCCCTACTCCGAAAATTTTATGCGAAGAGGTTCTCTACCCCCCTTAGAAACAAAGATGCCAAATAAGGGCCAAAAATAGAAGAAAATGGCGAAGGCTCCAAAAATGGCTTAAATCATACGATGATTATTTATGATCGATATCATGACCTGCTAAAGCGATTTAAGGTATCTTAAATGTTCAGGCAGAATTTTTGGAAGGATAGAAATCCTTTTCTTACTAAAAGTCCCATTCGCTCTACTATTTTGCACCCTTTATATTTGGTATTTTACTGATTGTACTCCCAAAAATTTTTGCATTTTGAGCTCTCATTGGACGGATTATTGTCACAGGAAAGAAGTAGGGCCACGCTTTGAAATAAGCCCCATTAGTCTTTTTCGGTCATTTTTGTTTGTTTAAATGTCTGCGCATCTTCCAGCTGAAGCACGATGTAGGCCCTGGAGTTGAAAGGTAGATGTCAGTTACCATCGTATTTCGCACTTATTTCATTTTTTTGGTGAAAAATTGTATATAGTGAAAAATTATTCTTTATTTTGTTCACAAAAAATCCACTGAATTCAATATGATATTACAAATTGAAAAAAATTGACAAAAGAAGAATAACAAATTGAAAAAATCTTTAACTTGTTCGCTGATTTTTTACAGCAACTGTTTAAAGATCCTTACAAAGTTTGTCAATAGAATGTACTTTTATTTTAAAATTCAATTCCATTGGAATTTTTTTCGATATTTTCCCGTTTTGAGAATTGTTGCAATGAGATCTCTTTTTTCGTGTTTCTTTTTAACGATTTTGAAAAAGTAATTTTCTTTTAACTTTGGTGTGACCGCATTAAATTATTTCGGTATCATCTATTCCGTTTCGCCACCACATAATTCGGTACTACACTTCCATGTAACCCGTTATCAATTTCAGTTCTCAAGAAATCAAGTCAATTAAATAAATTGGTATTAATATTCGAATTCAAAAATAAAATATAAAAAACACTACAAATGTACATTAGAAAAAAGTAAGTCAAAATGGAAAAAATCATGCAAAATAAAACATTACTATTGTACATTTCAAAAGTCAAAATGAAAATGTTAACATATCACATTTTTACGCGATTTTTTTGGATATTATCCTTTTCGGATAAGAGACAATTCCAGAGACAATGAATCATTAAAATCAGTTCAGCGGTTCTTAAGTTATAAGCGTAGTAACTAACACAACTTTCATTTATATATATAGATTTGTATGGTACATCTCTATATGTAATAGAGTAGTGAAATAATTTTCTGGTGGAGAATCAACGCCTAGTAAAGGCTAAAGCTAGAATCTTGATTTTTTGCAAGGGGGTCAGTTTTGGCGCGTGGGCTGGGTTGTTGGAGACTCGTACCAAAATAATACGAAAAGTAATGTACCAAAAATTGAATACTTTGTATTGTACAAACGGAATGAGCTAGAATTCTGAAATTTGGAGAGTCACCGATGAAGGAACTTTAAGTTTACGAAAAGTTCTAAACTGAAACAAAACTTCTAAAATGGTACTTTTTGAAAGTAAGTTTGATATATGAAGGAGGTTTGAAAAAATGTACTAAGTATGCGAACTTTTGGTACTAAACTTTAAATGGTACTAAATTTGGAACAGTTTGGCTTAGGGTGAACGGATGAAGCGAAATTTTGAAATTTTGTATAGGAGTTCCTGTTAGTGGTAGGTTTGTGATAAAAAGGTAGTTATGGAAATTTTTACTATACATGCACGAAAAGTACCAAATAGTACAGATAGTGCTTGCAATCTGAATTTTTTCATTAGAGTCGCTGTTCATGTGTACTACAAGCATACTACAGGGTGAGATCAAAAAACTGCAACCATTTCTAAGCCACTCGTCCGACAGCTGTTTACAAGTGTACAAAAGCATTTTGGTTAGAATTTTCCAGAAAAAAAGTTATTCGTGGTGGAATTCAAGCGCGGTAGTGTGATTTCTTTATATTTGGCTGGAAAACCACAAGTGGCTATCGTTAGAGCACTCCAGCATTTAAATGTGAATAAATCTTGTTTGTCTCGTACCAACGCTCGCTACCGTGATACTAGCAGCGTAGCCCGACGTCAAGGAAATGGACGGAAGGAAACAGCAACATCAGCAGAAGTGGTTCGAAAAGTAAAGAAGAGACTTGATCGAAACCCAAGTCGCAGTGGCCCAAAAATGGCTCGTGAGTTGAACATATCGCAATATTCCATTCGGCAAAGATCAAAAAATGAGCTCGGGGTAAAGCCATCGAAAGTCCAAAAAGTGCAAAAACTTACACTGCAACAGAAAGAAAATTCAAGAGAGTTGCTTCGCTTGGCCGAAAGTGCTGAACTGCCGAATTTGGTTTTCTCCGTTGAGAAAACATTCGTTGTCCAGCAGTTTGTAAACAAACAAAGCGATCGTGCTTACTTGCCAAAGAGGTCAGCTGAAAATGTGCACCTTCGCTTGGCCACTAGAACTTAAGCGCCGGCCACGGTGATGGTGTGGGCCGCCATAACAGCCGATGGTCGCTCTCCGCTCGTATTAATCGACCATGGCATCAGATTAAATGCCGAATATTATGGCGAAAATATTTTGGAGGGTGTATTAAAGCCTTGAGCATGCAAACATTTTGGCCGCAGACCTTGGACATTCCAACAGGACTCAGCACGCGCCACCCAAGAATGGTTACAAAATGAGGTTCCTCGCTTCATTTCCAGCGCACAATGGCCACCAAAATCTCCGGATACCAATCCGGTGGACTATTGTGTCTGGAGTAGCTAGGAAAGCAAGGTTGGCACTAAAAATACCAAAGTGTCGATCACCTCAAAAAAGCGTTTCGACGGGATTGGGCCAAAATACGGCAGAGCAACATTCGGGCAGCGTGTGACGGTTTCATTAGCTGTTTGAAGGCCACAGGTGACCAATTCAAACAAATCTGAACTTATTCTAAAATTTGATGCTATTTCCGACAATTTTTGCTTTCGCTCAATTAAATTTAAAGAAAATTTAAAAATTATGGCGTTTGACTTTGTTGCAGTTTTTTATCTCACCCTGTATATGTAATAGAGTAATGAAATAACTGAATAGCAGAGTATAGAAGCTAGAATCTTGACATTTTGCACGGGGGTCAGGTTTTTGGAAAATCGTACTAAATGTGTGAAAATGTGTACTAAGTATGCGAACTTTTATAAATGGTACTAAATTTGAAATATTTTGGCTTAGTGTGAACGGATGAAGCGAAATTTTGAAATTTTATATCTTTGTTGGTATTTGGAATTGAGCTATGGGGATGGTTTTGGAAATGTGTACCATAATTATACGAAAATAACTAAATTTGGTACAATTTGATATTGGGTGTGCAGATAGTGCTTTTAATCCGAAATATAGTATTAGGGCCTGGACATATGGAAGTGATTTCGGTAATGTGTACTATAGTTGGCCTTGGTTGAAGGGATGGAGATAGAATTCTGATATATGATATTTAAATTATTAATGGTATTTGTGTTTGATATTTAGCAATGGTTTGGAAATGCGTTCTATATTTGTACGTAAAGTACTAAATGGTACAAAAATTTAGTATTGGTAGGAGGAATAGGACTGGATTTGGAGTTAAGAATGTTATAGGTGTTGATATTTAGATAATGTATAGAGCTAAAATCTCAAATTTGATATTGAGACGTTGAAATTTTTTTGGACACAAAACTATTCTATCATTGATAGAGCTCTAACAATTG